CTGAGCAGAGCACATTTTCATGCATGTACCTTTTTGATGCTTCCTATGACCTATGCACCCAAGTTCTGTATTTATGAAGAATTTCCCTGCTTGACCCCTTAGTCCAACTATGACGGACATGAGAGTGGACCAGGGGAGCGTGACCACAGGGGCGTGCTTGATGGTGGCAAAGTCCCTGGTGCCTTGGCTCAGTGCCTTCCACACTTTAGGGTTTACATGTTATACCTGGGGATCTTGTTCACAGGCAGCTTCTGACGCAGCAGAACTGGGGTGGGCCTTGTGATTTTTGTATGTCTATTAAACTCCAAGACAGCTCTGCGTGTGGTTGGTGGTAGAGGAAGAAGGCCACCAGGTGAAAGGAATCCCTTGAGAATCTTCTCTAAGGAGGCTGCCATAGGCCATGGTTTGCCTTTTGGTAACAATTCGATAGCTCTGTGCTTTGAATGTATAGAATTAGAAATAATTCGATTTCTAAATACTGTTCAATTTGTTGACTTAATTTCTAAGTTTTCTATTTTTGTTTATTTGGAATTTATTTTAGTGCACAGTGTGAGGTTCTGGAACAAATTGATTTTTCCTCAAATAGCTTACCCATTTGTCTCAACATAATTCATTAATTAGTCCTCTTTCCACAAATTTGTGCTATATGAATTTCCTATATAGTCTAAAGATGCTTCCAGATTCTCCTATGCTGCTGGGTGATTGTAGCATTGTAATGTATTTTGATGCCCAGTCTTGTTAGATACCCTCTTTGGTACTCTATTTCTTGACTGTTATCACATAAGTATACAGATGAACCTTAATATAATTTTATCAACAATAAAATTATTGAGATTTTGATCAAAGTATGTTAAACATACATGTTAATTTGGAAAATATAAGCAGTTCAGGAATAGAGTATGCTTCTCTTTTCATGTCAGACACTTTTTATAACTTTTAGGAGAATTTTATATTCTTAACCACACTTTTCATATCAAGATTACTACCAGATATATGATGCTTATTGCTGCTATCTTGAATAGAATTTATTTTATATTACATATTATGGTATATAATATGTATATTTTTTTTCTTATTTATATTATATTGTTATATATACTTATAACCACTGGCCACATGTGACAGTTTAAATTTAAATTCATTAAAATAAAATTGTAAATTCAGTTCTTCAGTTACACTAGCCACATTTCAAGCATCCAACAACTGTATGTGGTTAGAGGTTACCATAGCAAAGTGTTCTGATATCGAACATGATAGCACAGAAACCTCTATTGCAGATCAGTATAGTATGTTTTTGTTGATACTTTATATATATATATATATATAAATAACATATATAATATGTTACTTGGGTGTATTCACTTTCTTTCTTAACTACTTCATTTCTCTAACTAACAAACCATCCCTCCTTATTTCTTAAATAACTCTTATGAATCAAATAATAAAACTTGTGAATATGGTCAATCTTGAATCCTTTTAAAACATTTGCCAATGCCATTCAAAAACTTGGAAAGATTTCAAGTTAAAGTCACAAGTCTAAATACATATTGCTTAAATCGTATTTTTAAAATTGAGGTCACAAGACCCAGTAGTTATGCTGAAAAGTTAAATTCTTTCATACCGAACACAAGAATCAATAGTAAGGGTTTGAGGCTCCTAAATACACTAATACACTAATGAATTTAGATTTCTAAACTCATGATATTAAAAGGTAATTTCTAGGGACTTCTCAAACTATGAAACGTTATCCTCCTAAGTAATGTTTGGGGTTGTCATCTCTGTTAACAGTTTTCTGGATGACAGAGGCTTCTGAGTTCTATTAGAATTGCTGTCAATGCCTCCCATGGGTGGTCTCACGGCTGGGGGTCCCCAGATTAAAGTTACACTTTACCCAGCTTTGTCTATTCACTCCCCAGGGCCCGAAAGGTCATTTGGCCCAGTTTTGCATTTCTTTTGCTTTAAACATTTTAAAATATCTTCCCAGCTAGCTCTAACACCCTTTAAACTTGAGTAAAGACTGGATCATTTTCGTATTTCCCTTATATGCTGGGGCCCCGGGTCTTGATATTCAAATGCCATCTGACTACTAGAGATCACTCATGGTGTTGGCTGACTATATGATCACAATGACCACAGTCTACTGATGACCTTCACTCCTCATTTATTACTATGGAACGAGTTATTAAACTCTATGACCCTTCCCTACTTGGGTTCTGTAAGAGTCACGTAAGATAATATATGTGAGGTCTCACTCAATCCCTGAGTATACCTGAAGAACACTCGCAATTATTCTTGTTATTATTGTTATCATTGCCTTAGCGAGTGGGCTCAGAGTAGATGTGCCCAGGAGGCTCCTCGCCTCTCCTCTTATCCTCTGACCTGGAGGCCTTCCTCCTCATCCTCTTTCCTATCTGATGGGGAGCCCCCTCCCCCCAGGCCATGTCCCCCTCCTTCTCTGAAGTAGATCTTGCCCTTCCTCCTCACTGTGGCTATAATGGCAGAATGGATGCCGGAAACAAGACTATCTATTGAAAATTCGGTTTCATGTTTTCTGATATCTCCGTATTTCAAAAGGAAGAAGACATGGTTAGTGTCTGGGAAGTGATCGGACCTTGCGTTGGGCATTGAACTTACACAAATAGATTCTAGAACACACTCTCCTTTCACTATTTGCTAATAAATATTTTCTGTATATATTCTAGATTCTAGCACTGTTCCAGACACTGCTCTGGGCCCTGGGGATACCGTCATGCACACAGGAGACAAAAACCCTTGTCCACATAAACAGACTTTCAATGGCACCTTGGGTACCTGTTTGATGATGGCCCCCCCAGCCAGGGAAGATTTTCAACCCAATTTTTGTGAAAGATAAATTTTTGTTCTTATTTTGAGACAGGCCTGGGGACTGTCTCTCACCGCGTTAACAGCTAATAACCCATGCTCATTTCCTGACGTGCCTTTAGCCTGTGGAACCGAGAGGCCATCCTCACTGGGGGACGGCCACTCTTCTCTGTTGGCGTGTAATAACCCTTGATGAAGGGCCAGGAAGCTCTGCTGGGGCACAGGTTTCGTTTTATGGCGGAGCCTGAGGATAGTCTGCTGTGGCCTCTGGAGCTTCCTCCAGCATTCACACAACTAACATTTCCTGTGTGTCCCCTGCGTGCTGCGTGCTGAGGTGACTCACCCTCCCCTTCATCAAACTGCGAAGGTAGAAGTGAAACCTGAGTATTTATTAACTTCAGTTATGCTGGTGACAAAAGGAGAAGTTCGGGTAGAACGACGGTTCTTTTAAAGGATAGCATCATCGCTCAGGATGGCTCAGGCACAATAGAACCTCCTGCGGCCCTTCTGGAGCCAATGGAATCCGGGCCACTTAGCAGAGCCCTGCAGGAATTATCTGTGAAAGGATAGGAGACATGGGCTCTGGCTGGCTGGGAGGGAAGGCTGTTTCAGAAGTGGACTCCCTCCATAATTCCACGATGTGCCTTTGAAATCCCTGGGGTGCAGTTGGAGCCCCGTCAGGATGTGAGCCTGCCAGAGGCCTGTGCCATCTCCTGGTTGCAGACAGAGCCCTTCCTGCATGCTTCGCTGATAAATGCTCCCTGCCTGCCCCGGTGTGCTGTGAGAATTGTGTGACTTGACCTGTGACCTCTGGGGAGTCCCAGCATGCCACCCCTACCTCCCAGCAGGCCTGGCTTTCTTGCATTCTCTGCCAGGGCCCTGGTTGAGAGCCTTGAAGGAACTATGTTGGGACAGGAACCTGGGTTTCGGACTCCCCACAGTGCCTCAAGCTTGTTTGGGATGTCAAAAGTCAACTTCTCCCACTTTGGAACAGGAGTTTTCACTCCCGGCTCCTAGATGCACAGGAGATCCTGCTCTGCTGATTCAGACTGGAGTGTAAGGCCATCCTGGCCTTGAGTTCTGACTTGGCCAAAGTGCTTGCTTAATGACCTTGAACAAATTACGTGGTCTCCTGCACGGTGTGCTCATGTCTGTGGATGGGGTGGTGACTTCCTGATCCTGGACCTCTGTCCTGGGCTGCCCTTCACCCAGGTCTGAAATCAGCAGAGCTGAGCCCAGTACTGGGAGCTTCCAGGGCACAGATCTGTGCTGAGCAATCATTCTCCGGCCAGTGTCCTCCCCGAGTAGTGGGCAGGCAGCCTTCTTGGACTGTATCTTTGAGGGACACTCACAGGAACTTTCTTTGGGATCCTGATACAGGGTCTGTCAAGCAGAAAGGCAGAGTGTGGGGTCCAGACCTCGTGGCAGGGAGCCTCCAGGACCATGGGTTAGGAGACTAGCTGGGGGTGGGAGGGAGAGAGCTCTCTGGTTCCTGAGATGGGGTAGAATACAGTGGCAGCCATGAGGTCTGAGGTGAGTGCTCCAGCAGGAGGGCCTGTGCCCTCTTGTGGCTGCTGTGGGTAGGGGCTGCCCTGGGCTGGGTGCTAGAGGTCAGTCACCCCTGGGGTCACACCGCACAAACATCTGTTGGCCTCACTGCTCCTCACCATTAATGCAGGCCATTCTGTGGATCTCAGTGCTGGGGGATACAGTGCTGTGGACCATCTCGTATTTACTGAGTGGTGCCAGGGGCCAGGCCCCCGGTGGTGGAGTAAACCTTGCCATCATTGGGCATGGAAATAGAATCTTCCCCCAGGGAAAGACAACAAATATTGTGAACACTTGGCTCATTTATCACATAATGAGTTTTCTTTTGTATCCCGGGGGCTCTGAGGAAGAGAGAACTGTCTGTCTGTGGTGATTTTACCTAGAACTACCTACAGGTCAAGAGAGACAGTTTGACTATTCAAAATATTTTACAGATCTGTTGCTTTCATGGAGGCCGGTCCCTGCCCTGTAGCCTTGATGCACAGAATTATCATGTGTCAGTCCTGCCTCTCTAACAACCCCGTCTCTTAGATTCAGGAGTCCGAATCCAAATTCACAAATCCAATTCTTGATCTCCAGCTTAAATGAATCCATTTATGTTTCCCCCCCAGCTGTCTTTTGGGGAGACATTGCCTTAGATGAAGATGACCTGAAGCTATTTCACATCAATAAGGCAGGAGACCGGATCAAGCAGTCGGTGGAGAAAGAGGGACACGGCACAGGTAAGACTGTACCCTCCCCGACCCTAGAGAGAGGGCAGGGTCTCTGACATTCCCTGGTTGCTGGTATTCAGCCTGTCAGTGCTCTGCCCACCTGTCTGTGGAAACTGCTACTGGTGGTGGAACCGGAGCCTGCAAGTTTGCTGGTCCTTCTAAGAAGATCTCCCTCTGCGTCTTTATTGGAAGGTTCAGGTTTGAGCTCAGAGGGTTCAGGCTTGAGCTCCGTGGAGGTTGTCCAGGGCCCTGACGCCAGCGTCCAGCACCCCTCAACTGGAGAAAATGCCTGTGTGGGCCCAGATAGTGCTTGTCTGATGCTAATGCTAATAATGATGAAGATGTTTGCCCATGGGGTGTTGTGTTCTTGTTTGGGGACAACCCAGGTGAAAATCCAGGAAAACCAGAGGCAAGACTCATAGGTGGGGCTCCACACTCTGGGTGCTCTTTGTCTCTCCCTCTTGGCCTCCAGCCTTGGGGTGAATATTAGTGGGGCTGGTCTCTTGAGTCCTCACCTCCCTGCCCACAGGTGCTGCAGCGCTGGGTGGCCCGTGCTCAGAAGGGGCTGAGGGCTGAGCGGTGGGACCGAGGCCTGGCAGGCTGACAATGGCTGGTTCTTTGGTGCCTGATGTGACATTGTCCCGGCTGCCTTGCCACCCTTCTTCCCGCCATCCATCTGTTCTCGTGAAGTATTTTGCTTTATTATTTCCAGCAAGAACACATAAAATGACATATATTTTCTTATAAGTGCTAAAGTATACACGTAGTATCATAAATTGTAGTCACAATGTAGTACAGCAGATGTCCAGCACTTACTCATCTTGCATAGCTGAAATGACACCTTTGCTGGGGGGTGAGGGGCAGGTGTCCTGCTGGTGAGCGGAGGAAGAAGGCAGATATGACCTGCCTTCCGGGACCCTGCTCTCACCGGGTGGACAGTGTCAGGAGGGCTTCGAGGGCTTAGCAGACAAGCTCCCTAACACCTCTAGAGTTCAGTTTTTCTGTCTGTGAAGTGGACATGAAGCCAACCTTCCCTCTAACAGGGACTCAGGAGGCTCGACGCCGAGGGGGATGGGCTCGCCTGGTGCTGGCACAAACAGGCTCTCAGGTGATGGCAGACATCAGCACTCAGGTGTTAGTGGAATGAGATTGAGATGCAGCTTGATGACGTAATTCCTCACGGCAAGTGTCGTACTGAACCAAGAGCAGTGGGAGGAGAGGAGCGGGTGGAGAAGCCTCCCTAGGTGAGCCCTGGGAATCCTGCCTTCTGTCCTGAAGGGTGGCGAGGAGTTCCTGTGAAGAACTGAGAAAAGACACTTGAGGTGGAGGGGAGCCATGTGCAAAGACAGGGACTATGAGAGGGGATCAGAGGTACGGTGGGGGAGCACGGGCGTGTGGCTCTTGAGGGTGTGGTGGGGAGATGCTCCCGGAGCAGTTGACGAGGGAAGGTGGTGACGGTGTCTGTCAGAGGGGCGGGTGGGGATGTGCCAGACTGAGGGGCACTAACAGTTCGTGAAGAATGTGAGCAGCTGCAAGGATCAAGCTGCAAGCCCCCCACAGAAGCTGGGGACCAGGGGGAACACCTAGGAAGTCAGAGGAAGTCAGAGGAACCCCATTGGGAGGAAGGCTGGGAGGAAGGGAGAGCGATTAGAATTGCTTTTTGGTGCGAGTCTGGGACTATCATTTCTAGGCTATTGGAGACCTCGTCTTTATGGTTTGCAAAGTCTACTCCCATTTTAAATGGACTTTAGAATCAATTTATTTTCCACACCAATATATGCACAACCTTAAGTGAACTCTAACGAAAGGAAGTATTTCCTCCTAATCCCACCACTCCATAGTCCTATTCTTTCCCCAAGTTCTTCAAGACCTAGAGAAGCTGACCCGCTCATTCTGTGGTTAGAATTTTTCTTTTTAACTTTGTTCACCCACATATCTTCACCCCAGGCCAAGGCTTGGAATATTTCCAGAACCCCAGAGACTTCGTTATGTCCTCTTCCAATCAACACCCATCCCAAGTACCCTCTGATGTGACCTCATTCACCCCTAAAATGCTCTTGACTCCCATAGGGCCTCATGGTATGTGTTGTGTAGTGTGTGACTTCTCATTTCATGATTGTGAAATTCCTCCGCACTGTTGTGTGAAGCATTCACTCCCCTTCATTGTGTAGTGTGTGTGTGTGTTGTATGTATATTCTTTTGTGTGAACGGTCTTTAGTTTATTCATTCTCCGTCGACAGGCACTTGGACAGTTTATAGTATGGGCTGTGATAACAAGACTGCTGCTGACATCCTCATGTGTGTCTTTCAGTGGACACAAGCTTTTGTTTCCACTCGATGTTTACCCAGGGATCACAGAGCATACGCAAGTTTAGTTTTCGGTACTGTCAAACAGTTTTTGAAAATGGTTGTACTGTTTATGCTCTGCCCGGGTACATATTGACCTGGAAAGCAGGAGTGGCGATCATGCCAGATCCAGTGATCCTTCTGGGACTTGGTCTCTCTGGCTTGGGGTCCCCACTCACATCCTCTGCCCATCCACCATCGCGAATGCTCAAGGTCACCCCCATCAGCTGGGGGCCAAGACTTGGCAAGGAAAGTCGAAGACCCCAGAGAGAGGCTGGGCATGGCTAACCCCATGCCAAGGGTATGCCCAGCTGTGGCAACGGTGTCTGTGCAGAAGGCTTCCTGAGGGTGCAGTGAGGGGAAGCTTAACAACTCAACCTCACCTCCCTCGTGGCACTGCCCCAAGGCCAGTGTGGTTAGCCTCATGGCCTAAGAACTTGGGTATCTGTCTTCTCTTTCCCTCTGCCCTGTGAACTGTGAGAGGGCAGAATCTATATAAGATCTGACTTTGGAAAACCCAGAGCTGGCCAAGCGCCTGGTCCCTCGAAGGCACTGGCCAACATTGGTGGAGGGGGGAGAAGGAAGAGATAGATGGAGACTGGCAGACCCTGGAGCCACAACCAGGGGCTTAAGAGATCCAGCGCTCCATCAGGGCTTTGCTCGTTGAAGGGTGTTTGAAGAGCTGGTCACAGTCAGGGGTTATGGCACCAGACTGCCTGGGCTTGAATCTTTGAGCTGGGCCTCAGTTTCCTCATTTGTTCAACAGAAAAATAAGAATCCAAACCTTAGAGGAAGGTGAGGAAAAAGGGACAGAATATATGGAAAGTTCTTAGCAGTGTCTGGCATGTAATAAATGCTCAGTAAGTATCAACTCTGCATCTTTCTGCTCATTATTACCTTGAGTTGTATTTGCAAAAAGAGCACTGATCTGGGAGTGTTTAAGTTTCGAGTGGAGAGTGGGGGAAGTTTGTGATGTGCTGGAGGGAGCACTGGGGGCTTGGCCTCAGGCCTCCGAACCTGGTACCTGGTACCTGCTGTTTTCTCCTTCTGGAGCCTGGTGTTTTTCCCCCAGAGCTTTCTTACAGCGCAGCGATTCTTTCCCTGATCTCTTTCCTCTCAGGGCCAATAGCACTTTGCATTGATGTAGAATAGTTGTTTTATTTTCAGAATGGGAATATCTTTTATTGTTTTTGCTGATGAAACTAATACTGCATGTTGTTCAAAAAATATATAAGTCCAATCACTCAATATTGTAGAGCTAGAAAGTGAAAACCCTGTTGTTGCAGCCCAGGGAGCTCGTCATGACCTGCTGGCTGGCCTCCCTGCAGCCCCACACTGCTGGGGCGTGTGCACGTAGGTATTTTTAAAAGGCGGGGAGGATTTTCTCTGCACTCTCGGTGTCGCATACCTTTCGCTTACCCCGCATCTGGGACGCCTTTCTCCGCTCACAATGGTTTTTCACACCTAGTGGTGGTTGTGGTTCAACGCTGTCACAACTTGTCAAACTCAGTTTGGACAGAGGGGTGTGTTTCCCCCTTTTTCCTGCATTCTTTCCCTATTAGAAACAGTGCTTCTATGTGCAAATGTGCATCTGGATTTTTAAACTTTTGCTTTGATTACAAAAATTAATTAATAAGGAAACACACTTTTACCCTCTCTCCTCCACTCCATGTGTGAAAGGGTGTGTTCTTAACACAGGTTATTTCCTTTGCAAACCTTGGTAAGTGCCCCTGCTTTTTTTTTTTGGGTGGGGAGGAGGGGTTTCTGAGTCCCAGGAGGAGTGAGAGTGGGCATAGGCCCAGAAATCTGCAGGGACATCCTTTTCCTTGTTTAACCTGTGAATTTGGAGCTGCTTTCCTGGCTACAGAGTGGAGCAATGCCTTGGTCCTAGGAGTGACCTAGTCTTCCTCGTTTTCCTGTCTCAGACCCAGTCAGTGGCCGAAACCAGGTTTCCCAAGGCCCAGTCTGTGCCCGCCAACACCCCATGTTGCCAGCTAAAAGGCACAGCAGAGGACTGAGTCCATGCATCCCTGGACTAAGTCCCATGCTGGAGTCTTTCTGGGCCTGAGGGTAAGCAAAAATTACACTGGGCTTGGTCCGCAAGCCCAGTCAGGGTGCTGCCCTAGCCACAAAAAAGAGTCACTGAGGGTTCTAGGACCCTAGCAGAGAGCGCCCAGCTGTTCACTTAGGGCACCAGGGTCCTGTTGATTAGTTCCACTTAATCTCCAGGCCTCTAGTCCCTCTAGTGTTTCCTGCTTCCAATTAGCTTCCTGGCCCTGACCTTACAACCACTGTAGTGAACAGTATCCCCCCAAATTCATGTCCACTTGGAACCTCAGAATGTGACCTTATTTGGAAATTGAGTTTTACAGATGTAATTAGTTAAAGATTTTGAGATGAGATCATCCTGGAAATAGTATGGGCCCTAAATCCAATGCCTGGAGTTCTTGGAGTTGAAGAGGACACGGACTGAGACAGGAGGCCTTGTGCAAAGGGAATCACAGGTTGCAGGGCTGTAGCTACAAGCCAAGGAGTACTACCCCAAGGTGGCAAGAGGCCAGGAAACCTTTTCCCTAGAGCCCTCTAAGGGAGCAGGACCCTGCATTCCAGACTGTTAGCCCTAAGAACTGCCAAAGAAGAGATTTCTGAGGTCTTAAGCCACT